GTCCACACCACACCTGGCTAATTGTTGTATTTTTTCTAGAGATGGGCTTCCTCCATGTTGCCCAGGTTGATCGCCAACTCCTGGGCTCAAGTGCTCCACATGTCTTGGCATGCCAAAGAACCGGGATTAGAGGCATGAGCCACCGTGCCCGGCCTCGGCTTTATTTCACTCAGTATAACATCGTCTAGGCTCATTCATGTTACAAATGACATGTTCACCTTCCTTTTTTTTAAATAGCATTCTATTGGATGTGTATGTTTTTTTTTTTTTTTTTTTTTTTTTGACAGAGTTTCCCTCCCGTCGCCCGGACAGGAGTGCAGTGGCATGATGTTGGCTCACTACATCCTCTGCCTCCCGGGTGCAAGCTGATCTGGGCACAATGGTGTTCATAGGCACTGCAGGATTCATCTTCAACATCTTCTCATCTCTTCTTAAAACAAGCTGTACCTTCGTCAACAGCTGATTTCTTCGGGGGACTCTCCTTATAAGCTTTACATAAAACATCAATGAATTCTTCATTCCTCCACCCAAGCTTCACCGTAAATTTGATGTTTGTTTTTGCTGCCATTTTAGCGGAATTCGTGTTGCTCTGATAGGAGGCCTTTTCAGTGGGTGTCTCATCCTTCTTAGTGCCTCAGAGTGGATCTGGTCCAGAAAGGTTATAACAAGTTAGTATAAGTTTGTTTTAGTGTAAAACAACTGAAATCCATGCAGAGATTTTTCACAACGTCCATTTTCTGTGAACCTTTTGAAGACCCCCTGTGTTAAACGTTGGCCAGGTCCTTGGAGAGAAGTGGATGCCGTCCACTTCCTGTCCTCAAATTGCCCACAGTGCAGGAGTGCACAGAGCAGGGAAAGGCCACCCCAGAGAGGTCCTGCCCTCCAGCGTGCAGCAGACTGCCGGCCCAATCCTGACTCCCTGGTGTGCTGTGTGGGCCAGAGCAAGTTGATGAACCTCCCTGAAGCTCAGTTTACTCCTATGTAGCTCAGAACCAGTAGCCATGATAGGACTGCTTGGCAGGGACGGTTAATTAACTCAGGAAAAGCAACCTAGCTCCAAGGGTAGCAACCAGGAGTTCCAGTTGATTCCATCCGCAGACCCTCTGAGGCGTTCCCAAGCTGCGGTGTGGTGGAATATTAATTGGGTTTAGAGTGATTGGATTGAAGTGCCAATCTAATCAAGGAGAAGTCCCGCCCAAAGGGCAAAAAGCCAAGACTAACCCCGACCCCGACTCCCAGTCCCCCGGAGTACCTACCGCGGCCCCTCGCGACTGCCCCCATCCCTCTGCCCCTCCCAGACCTCTATCCTTCCACCAATCGCCTCCCCCAGCCCCGAGCCCCCACTCCCAGGCCCCCGAGTCCCTGCCGCGGTCCCTCGCGCCTGGCCCCATCCCTCTGCCCCTCCCAGACCTCTGTCCTTCTTCCACCGCTAGCCTCCCTCAGCCCACCTGGACTTCCATGATCTCTGAGAACAAAGCCAGCCCCCTGGCCCCCCAGCCTCCTGCCAGTCTTCCCTCCTGGGCGTCTTCCTCTTCTCTGGGGCTTTCGGAACCTCCCCTCCCCCACCCGAGCTTTCCCCCACCCCCAGGGGCAGGCACAGAATCAATGTCTCTAGGAATTTCAAATGTAAAAATAAAAGAATTTAAAAACAACGGAAAGGCATTTGCTCCTCCATGTGCGCTTACCTGTTTTTCTGTAGAGGCACCACGCTGAGGTGGGTGAAGCACTTGGGCTCTGGAATTACACATCTGGCTTCAAATTCAACTTACACCACTTACTGGCTTTGTCATATTCGACAAAAGACGTCTTTGTGCGTCTACGTTTTTTCTTTAATGTGTGATCATAATTGTCACGGTGAGGAATGAATGAAGCAACACATGGCAAGCCTTGAAACAATCGCACATAGTAGGTACTCCATTCATGTTAACTCTGTTTCCTTCTTATAATAGCTTATAATGGGAATTCGTGAACACTGTATCATTAATCCTTGGAACAACCCAATGGGTAGGTAAATAAAGCTTAATTTTATACCTCAAGAAACCATGCGTCTTCACCTGCGCCAAATGCTCATGATTGTAAGGAGCACTGGTGGTTCGTTTATTATGTACTTGGTACTTTGCACCTATTAACCCAGTTAGTCCTCTTAATAGTTGTGAGAGGAATAGCGTTCTTATCCCCATTTTACAGATGAGGAAACTGAAGCACAAGTGTTAAGCAGTTTATCCGAGGTATCCTAGCTACAAGACAGGTGCAGTCAGCCTGGCTGCAGAGCCCTTGCTCTGTCCGCTGCACTACCTGACTTCCCAGGAGTATGTATGGTGAGAGTCAAAGTGGATTCTTCCACACAACCAACCAATTACAATGTCTGAATCAGTCAGGCGACTTCCAACTGGGCTCCAGGAGAGAAGGAATCATCACACCTCTCTAAATCCATGTTCCCATTTTGAATCTTCAATGAGAGACGAGACACTAAGTAGCTAGTTTTGGTGGAGTGGCTGATTTTACACGTGTTTGTGTGTGTGTGTGTGTGTGCGTGCGTGCGTGCGTGCGTGTGTGTGTGTGTGTGTGTCTGTGTACCTCACTAAAGTAAACTGATAGTTTGAATGCTTACAGTACCATTAATTTAATTTGTATATGTGAGCCCCCACACACCTATATACAAACACACCCTGTTCCAGAACAATGACTTAGTGAAGAACTGGATTTCCACTCTGTCACACAAACTGAGGAAAGCACTGAAGTAGGGCATTTCTGATTGATTTTACCGTTGCTGGAATTTTCTTTTCCTTTATAACATAGACTCCTTCTTTGGAGATTTCAAAAATAAAATATTTTTTTTTATTGTATGTTATTTCTTTTAATTTTCATAATTTATTTAAACTTAATTTTAAGTTGAAAATAAAAATTATATATGTTCATGGCATTCAACGTGAGGTTTCATATATGTATACATTGTGGAATGACAAAATGGAGCTAATTAGCATACTCATTTCCTCACATACATATTTCATTGTGATGAGAACATGTTTACAATCTACACTTACAGCTGTTTTCAAGTATACAATGCTTAGTTATTAACTATAGTTGTCATGCTGTTCAGTAGATCTCTAGAACTATTCCTATCTGAAATTTTGTATTGTTTGACTAACATCTCCCGAGTCCCTCCACGGCCCCTGCCTCTGGTAACCACCTTTCTGCTCTCTACAAGCATGAGTTCAATTTTGTTAGATTCCACGTAGAAGTGAGATCATGCAGCATTTGTCTTTCTGTCTTTGCTCTTTACAACTTTGTCACGTATTTATTCACCTTTCCAGAGGGGGTCTCACTCTGTCACCCTGGCTGGAGTACAGTGACACAAACACGGCTCACCATGGCCTCCACCTCCCGCGGTCAAGAGATCCTCCCACTTCAGCCTCCTGAGTAGCTAATACCACAGGCGTCCACACCACACCTGGCTAATTGTTGTATTTTTTCTAGAGATGGGCTTCCTCCATGTTGCCCAGGTTGATCGCCAACTCCTGGGCTCAAGTGCTCCACATGTCTTGGCATGCCAAAGAACCGGGATTAGAGGCATGAGCCACCGTGCCCGGCCTCGGCTTTATTTCACTCAGTATAACATCGTCTAGGCTCATTCATGTTACAAATGACATGTTCACCTTCCTTTTTTTTAAATAGCATTCTATTGGATGTGTATGTTTTTTTTTGTTTTGTTTTTTTTGACAGAGTTTCCCTCCCGTCGCCCGGACAGGAGTGCAGTGGCATGATGTTGGCTCACTACATCCTCTGCCTCCCGGGTGCAAGCTGATCTGGGCACAATGGTGTTCATAGGCACTGCAGGATTCATCTTCAACATCTTCTCATCTCTTCTTAAAACAAGCTGTACCTTCGTCAACAGCTGATTTCTTCGGGGGACTCTCCTTATAAGCTTTACATAAAACATCAATGAATTCTTCATTCCTCCACCCAAGCTTCACCGTAAATTTGATGTTTGTTTTTGCTGCCATTTTAGCGGAATTCGTGTTGCTCTGATAGGAGGCCTTTTCAGTGGGTGTCTCATCCTTCTTAGTGCCTCAGAGTGGATCTGGTCCAGAAAGGTTATAACAAGTTAGTATAAGTTTGTTTTAGTGTAAAACAACTGAAATCCATGCAGAGATTTTTCACAAGTCCATTTTCTGTGAACCTTTTGAAGACCCCCTGTGTTAACGTTGGCCAGGTCCTTGGAGAGAAGTGGATGCCGTCCACTTCCTGTCCTCAAATTGCCCACAGTGCAGGAGTGCACAGAGCAGGGAAAGGCCACCCCAGAGAGGTCCTGCCCTCCACGTGCAGCAGACTGCCGGCCCAATCCTGACTCCCTGGTGTGCTGTGTGGGCCAGAGCAAGTTGATGAACCTCCCTGAAGCTCAGTTTACTCCTATGTAGCTCAGAACCAGTAGCCATGATAGGACTGCTTGGCAGGGACGGTTAATTAACTCAGGAAAAGCAACCTAGCTCCAAGGGTAGCAACCAGGAGTTCCAGTTGATTCCATCCGCAGACCCTCTGAGGCGTTCCCACGCTGCGGTGTGGGGAAATTAATTGGGTTTAGTGTGATTGGATTGAAGTGCCAATCTAATCAAGGGAAGTCCCGCCCACTCTGCCCTGTGCCTATATAAAGGCGAGGCGCGGCGCCGGCACTCACGAAGCCCGCGAGTCCGCAGAGCAGCAGAGCCAGGCCAGTGCTCCAGAAGCGCAAGATGGAGGCCACAGCTCCTGCTGGCCCCCCGATATCCAGAGCTAGAAGGTGGCGAGGAGCGGCCCTCGAGGCTCTAGAGCTCCCACTGCCCTCATCAGCCTGCCCGGAACTTCGGCCGGTGCCCCAGATGTCACCAGGCCTCAGCGCTTGGGGATCCAGCGGAGCCTCAGAATAGCGTCCGCCGTGGCCCCGAGTGGCCCAAGATGTGACGAGCGTGTACTCCCTGCGCAGACATCGCCTGCCAGCCGCCAGCCGCCCCAAGGCTGACAGAGAGGCCCCCCGCAGTCCGCATCTCAGCCCCCAGGGAGAGGAAGAGGATCGCCCACTTTCCCAGCCCTTGCTTGGACACAGGTCCCACAGATGCCAAGAGAACCCTGGCGGCCAGCAGCCACCAACGCTCCGATGGCTCCAAGGTCGGCACACAGCCATGGAAGACGCACAACAGGTCAGGGATGGCATACAGGACCTCCACCACCGACAGCTCTAAGCGAATCGCCCATCGTCCATCCTTACGGAGTCTGAAGAAACCCATCCTCCTCCGAAAGTCTGGGTGCCGAGTCCCCACCGTCATCCGCCGAGGCTATCTCCAACTGCTCACCAAAGAGTGTCTCCAGTTCTGCGCCTCCGAGCAGGAGGCGAAGGAGAAGGCGCTGAACGAGGAGAAGGTGGCCCACGACCGCAGCCCCAACAAGAACGTCTACCTGAATGTGGTGCTGAACGCCCTCAAGAGACTGAAGGGCCTGACCCCCAGCTCCATGCCCGGCCTCAGCAGGACCGCTCTGTACAGCCGCCTCCAGGACTTCCTGCTCACTCGGGAGCAGCTCAAGGAGAACGGCTACCCCTTCCCGCACCCCGAGCGGCCCGGAGGCGCCGTCCTCTTCACTGCCCAGGGGAAGGGGCCAGGCGACTCCTCCCGCAGGGTCTGCTGCCGCTGTGGCACCGAGTACCTGGTGTCCCCTTCGGGCCGCTGTGTACGCGACCAGGTGTGTTACTACCACTGGGGGAGGGTCCGCTCCAGCCAAGTGGCCGGAGGCCGGCTTACCCAGTACACCTGCTGTGCAGCCGCTCCTGGCTCCGTGGGCTGCCAGGTGGCAAAGCAGCACGTGCGGGACGGCCGCAAGGAGAGCCTGGATGGCTTCGTGAAGACCTTCAAGAAAGAGTTTTCCAGAGACGCTTATCCCGGAATCTACGCCTTGGACTGTGAGATGTGCTACACCACGCACGGCCTAGAGCTGACCCGTGTCACCGTGGTGGACGCCGACATGCGGGTGGTGTACGACACCTTCGTCAAGCCCGACAACGAGATCGTGGACTACAACACCAGGTTTTCCGGCGTGACCGAGGCCGACGTCGCCCAGACCAGCATCACGTTGCCGAAAGTCCAAGCCATCCTGCTGAGCTTTTTCAGCGCCCAAACCATCCTCATCGGGCACAGCCTGGAGAGCGACCTGCTGGCCCTGAAGCTGATCCACAGCACCGTGGTGGACACGGCGGTGCTCTTCCCGCACTACCGGGGTTTCCCCTACAAGCGCTCCCTAAGGAATCTCACGGCCGACTACCTCGGACAGATCATCCAGGACAGCCAGGACGGGCACGACTCCTGCCAGGACGCAAACGCCTGCCTGCAGCTGGTGATGTGGAAAGTCCGAGAGCGCGCCGGGATCCAGCGAGGCCACCCGTCCGCCTCTCCCGCCGCCCTGGCCTGTCCTCAGACCCAGGCCTCTTCCACAACTGCGATCGCTCCCGAGAGCTAACCCAGTCCACCTGGCCGCAAAGCGACAGACCGAAGCAGCCGGGCAGGAGGGCAAAAAGCCAAGACTAACCCCGACCCCGACTCCAGTCCCCCGGAGTCCTGCCGCGGCCCCTCGCGACTGCCCCATCCCTCTGCCCCTCCCAGACCTCTATCCTTCCACCAATCGCCTCCCCCAGCCCCGAGCCCCCACTCCCAGGCCCCCGAGTCCCTGCCGCGGTCCCTCGCGCCTGGCCCATCCCTCTGCCCCTCCCAGACCTCTGTCCTTCTTCCCCCGTAGCCTCCCTCAGCCCACCTGGACTTCCATGATCTCTGAGAACAAAGCCAGCCCCCTGGCCCCCCAGCCTCCTGCCAGTCTTCCCTCCTGGGCGTCTTCCTCTTCTCTGGGGCTTTCGGAACCTCCCCTCCCCCACCCGAGCTTTCCCCCACCCCCAGGGGCAGGCACAGAATCAATGTCTCTAGGAATTTCAAAAAAATAAAGAATTTAAAAACAACGGAAAGGCATTTGCTCCTCCATGTGCGCTTACCTGTTTTTCTGTAGAGGCACCACGCTGAGGTGGGTGAAGCACTTGGGCTCTGGAATTACACATCTGGCTTCAAATTCAACTTACACCACTTACTGGCTTTGTCATATTCGACAAAGACGTCTTTGTGCGTCTACGTTTTTTCTTTAATGTGTGATCATAATGTCACGTGAGGAATGAATGAAGCAACACATGGCAGCCTTGAAACAATCGCACATAGTAGGTATCCATTCATGTTAACTCTGTTTCCTTCTTAAATAGCTTATATGGGAATCGTGAACACTGTATCATTAATCCTTGGAACAACCCAATGGGTAGGTAAATAAAGCTTAATTTTATACCTCAAGAAACCATGCGTCTTCACCTGCGCCAAATGCTCATGATTGTAAGGAGCACTGGTGGTTCGTTTATTATGTACTTGGTACTTTGCACCTATTAACCCAGTTAGTCCTCTTAATAGTTGTGAGAGAATAGCGTTTTATCCCCATTTTACAGATGAGGAAACTGAAGCACAAGTGTTAAGCAGTTTATCCGAGGTATCCTAGCTACAAGACAGGTGCAGTCAGCCTGGCTGCAGAGCCCTTGCTCTGTCCGCTGCACTACCTGACTTCCCAGGAGTATGTATGGTGAGAGTCAAAGTGGATTCTTCCACACAACCAACCAATTACAATGTCTGAATCAGTCAGGCGACTTCCAACTGGGCTCCAGGAGAGAAGGAATCATCACACCTCTCTAAATCCATGTTCCCATTTTGAATCTTCAATGAGAGACGAGACACTAAGTAGCTAGTTTTGGTGGAGTGGCTGATTTTACACGTGTTTGTGTGTGTGGTGTGTGCGTGCGTGCGTGGTGTGTGTGTGTGTGTGTCTGTGTACCTCACTAAAGTAAACTGATAGTTTGAATGCTTACAGTACCATTAATTTAATTTGTATATGTGAGCCCCCACACACCTATATACAAACACACCCTGTTCCAGAACAATGACTTAGTGAAGAACTGGATTTCCACTCTGTCACACAAACTGAGGAAAGCACTGAAGTAGGGCATTTCTGATTGATTTTACCGTTGCTGGAATTTTTTTCCTTTATAACATAGACTCCTTCTTTGGAGATTCCAAAAATAAATATTTTTTTTTATTGTATGTTATTTCTTTTAATTTTCATAATTTATTTAAACTTAATTTTAAGTTGAAAATAAAAATTATATATGTTCATGGCATTCAACGTGAGGTTTCATATATGTATACATTGTGGAATGACAAAATGGAGCTAATTAGCATACTCATTTCCTCACATACATATTTCATTGTGATGAGAACATGTTTACAATCTACACTTACAGCTGTTTTCAAGTATACAATGCTTAGTTATTAACTATAGTTGTCATGCTGTTCAGTAGATCTCTAGAACTATTCCTATCTGAAATTTTGTATTGTTTGACTAACATCTCCCGATCCCTCCACGGCCCCTGCCTCGGTAACCACCTTTCTGCTCTCTACAAGCATGAGTTCAATTTTGTTAGATTCCACGTAGAAGTGAGATCATGCAGCATTTGTCTTTCTGTCTTTGCTCTTTACAACTTTGTCACGTATTTATTCACCTTTCCAGAGGGGTCTCACTCTGTCACCCTGGCTGGAGTACAGTGACACAAACACGGCTCACCATGGCCTCCACCTCCCGCGGTCAAGAGATCCTCCCACTTCAGCCTCCTGAGTAGCTAATACCACAGGCGTCCACACCACACCTGGCTAATTGTTGTATTTTTTCTAGAGATGGGCTTCCTCCATGTTGCCCAGGTTGATCGCCAACTCCTGGGCTCAAGTGCTCCACATGTCTTGGCATGCCAAAGAACCGGGATTAGAGGCATGAGCCACCGTGCCCGGCCTCGGCTTTATTTCACTCAGTATAACATCGTCTAGGCTCATTCATGTTACAAATGACATGTTCACCTTCCTTTTTTTTAAATAGCATTCTATTGGATGTGTATGTTTTTTTTTTTTTTTTTTTTTTTGACAGAGTTTCCCTCCCGTCGCCCGGACAGGAGTGCAGTGGCATGATGTTGGCTCACTACATCCTCTGCCTCCCGGGTGCAAGCTGATCTGGGCACAATGGTGTTCATAGGCACTGCAGGATTCATCTTCAACATCTTCTCATCTCTTCTTAAAACAAGCTGTACCTTCGTCAACAGCTGATTTCTTCGGGGGACTCTCCTTATAAGCTTTACATAAAACATCAATGAATTCTTCATTCCTCCACCCAAGCTTCACCGTAAATTTGATGTTTGTTTTTGCTGCCATTTTAGCGGAATTCGTGTTGCTCTGATAGGAGGCCTTTTCAGTGGGTGTCTCATCCTTCTTAGTGCCTCAGAGTGGATCTGGTCCAGAAAGGTTATAACAAGTTAGTATAAGTTTGTTTTAGTGTAAAACAACTGAAATCCATGCAGAGATTTTTCACAACGTCCATTTTCTGTGAACCTTTTGAAGACCCCCTGTGTTAAACGTTGGCCAGGTCCTTGGAGAGAAGTGGATGCCGTCCACTTCCTGTCCTCAAATTGCCCACAGTGCAGGAGTGCACAGAGCAGGGAAAGGCCACCCCAGAGAGGTCCTGCCCTCCAGCGTGCAGCAGACTGCCGGCCCAATCCTGACTCCCTGGTGTGCTGTGTGGGCCAGAGCAAGTTGATGAACCTCCCTGAAGCTCAGTTTACTCCTATGTAGCTCAGAACCAGTAGCCATGATAGGACTGCTTGGCAGGGACGGTTAATTAACTCAGGAAAAGCAACCTAGCTCCAAGGGTAGCAACCAGGAGTTCCAGTTGATTCCATCCGCAGACCCTCTGAGGCGTTCCCAAGCTGCGGTGTGGTGGAATATTAATTGGGTTTAGAGTGATTGGATTGAAGTGCCAATCTAATCAAGGAGAAGTCCCGCCCAAAGGGCAAAAAGCCAAGACTAACCCCGACCCCGACTCCCAGTCCCCCGGAGTACCTACCGCGGCCCCTCGCGACTGCCCCCATCCCTCTGCCCCTCCCAGACCTCTATCCTTCCACCAATCGCCTCCCCCAGCCCCGAGCCCCCACTCCCAGGCCCCCGAGTCCCTGCCGCGGTCCCTCGCGCCTGGCCCCATCCCTCTGCCCCTCCCAGACCTCTGTCCTTCTTCCACCGCTAGCCTCCCTCAGCCCACCTGGACTTCCATGATCTCTGAGAACAAAGCCAGCCCCCTGGCCCCCCAGCCTCCTGCCAGTCTTCCCTCCTGGGCGTCTTCCTCTTCTCTGGGGCTTTCGGAACCTCCCCTCCCCCACCCGAGCTTTCCCCCACCCCCAGGGGCAGGCACAGAATCAATGTCTCTAGGAATTTCAAATGTAAAAATAAAAGAATTTAAAAACAACGGAAAGGCATTTGCTCCTCCATGTGCGCTTACCTGTTTTTCTGTAGAGGCACCACGCTGAGGTGGGTGAAGCACTTGGGCTCTGGAATTACACATCTGGCTTCAAATTCAACTTACACCACTTACTGGCTTTGTCATATTCGACAAAAGACGTCTTTGTGCGTCTACGTTTTTTCTTTAATGTGTGATCATAATTGTCACGGTGAGGAATGAATGAAGCAACACATGGCAAGCCTTGAAACAATCGCACATAGTAGGTACTCCATTCATGTTAACTCTGTTTCCTTCTTATAATAGCTTATAATGGGAATTCGTGAACACTGTATCATTAATCCTTGGAACAACCCAATGGGTAGGTAAATAAAGCTTAATTTTATACCTCAAGAAACCATGCGTCTTCACCTGCGCCAAATGCTCATGATTGTAAGGAGCACTGGTGGTTCGTTTATTATGTACTTGGTACTTTGCACCTATTAACCCAGTTAGTCCTCTTAATAGTTGTGAGAGGAATAGCGTTCTTATCCCCATTTTACAGATGAGGAAACTGAAGCACAAGTGTTAAGCAGTTTATCCGAGGTATCCTAGCTACAAGACAGGTGCAGTCAGCCTGGCTGCAGAGCCCTTGCTCTGTCCGCTGCACTACCTGACTTCCCAGGAGTATGTATGGTGAGAGTCAAAGTGGATTCTTCCACACAACCAACCAATTACAATGTCTGAATCAGTCAGGCGACTTCCAACTGGGCTCCAGGAGAGAAGGAATCATCACACCTCTCTAAATCCATGTTCCCATTTTGAATCTTCAATGAGAGACGAGACACTAAGTAGCTAGTTTTGGTGGAGTGGCTGATTTTACACGTGTTTGTGTGTGTGTGTGTGTGTGCGTGCGTGCGTGCGTGCGTGTGTGTGTGTGTGTGTGTCTGTGTACCTCACTAAAGTAAACTGATAGTTTGAATGCTTACAGTACCATTAATTTAATTTGTATATGTGAGCCCCCACACACCTATATACAAACACACCCTGTTCCAGAACAATGACTTAGTGAAGAACTGGATTTCCACTCTGTCACACAAACTGAGGAAAGCACTGAAGTAGGGCATTTCTG